TGCCAACACCGCCATTATACAGACTGTGGAACTACAACCCAGATAACGATGATGAAAGGGGCGACGATTGGAACGGCGAGAACTTTTCATGGTTCAGCCAGTCGCGTGCCTCGCCCGAGGCGCGCAATGCGCTGGAGCAGTCTTCGGATGCCCTTGACAAGGGTGGCCGCATTCTCGAAGCCGTCGTTCGCCCATACGCAGCGAAAACTGCAGGTATACCTCTCCACATGGCATTCGAGATGGCCACCGGTGCATTCTCCTACAGCTGGGCCGTTCCGACTGCAGAGAAAGACAAGTTCCCTGGTAGCTCCAGCGTTCACGACCCGCCGCGTAGTGGACATATTCCGCTCACAGCGCACGAGACAGAGATATTCCTTCCTGCAATGCTCACGCGTGGCAGGAAGGTCGCTGTGCGAGGGCTGCACAGCGACGATGCTTGGGTGCACGACGAGATGCGCCAGACTCTATACGTCTTACCCAAGGATAAGTCACCTGGCTCGGTGCACCAGATAGAAGTCACCCTTGACCCACCATTGGAGCTGTTTGTGCCGAACGACTTCTGGAGCGACTTCGGTGTCTACGTGAAGGCTGCAATTGCGGGTGTTCTTGCAATTCTCCTCCTACTAGCCGCGCGTTGAAGATGTAAAGTAGAAGCGACTTGCTCGGACGATATTGGATCAGAAGTTCATGTAGACTGCGATTACTCATAGATACGTCTCGTAAAACATGTCCATCTTCGCGCCAGCGTGGTGCATACATATATTTGGATCAGGTCTGTAATGCGGAACGCCGGTTGTGACGTCCGAGGCCAATCTGAGGCACACGACACACCACGCCACTTACTTTTGACCGTCATGTACGATACCTGCCCCCGGATCTGTCAAAGCCATGAAGGCTGGGTCTATAATCGCTGCCAGATAAAGCTTCAGGATGTCGATGTACGGAGATAGGAAAGAGCATCAGGTCCGCTCGGCGCGGTCACGAGCTATCGGCAGGTCGAGATCGCACAAAGCCGCGCTTTGCACCGGACCCGCACGCTCTCCAGCTTCCCAACGTCAAACTCAAAGAACTCGCGTCTAGGCGCGTGTGAAGGGTTCTAGCTATACATAAGGGTCATCTCTACCATCACCTTGCACACGAAGATGTTTGTCCATCGCCCCAGTCTACATGGCACTGCTCGCCGCGCCCTTCACGTGCGATCTACACCCAAGTTAGCGCCCGCGCCCGTTCTCTTCGGAACCCGCCGTCATCTCGCCACTGCCCAGTCAGCCAACGATTTCTCTATCACCCATCTGAACAAGACCTTCCCCTACCGTTGGCTGCGCGACTCCTGCCAATGCACGAGCTGTGTGCATCCGACCACACTCCAGAAGCTACATCGCACTTCGGACATCCCTCGTGATATTGCGCCCAAATCGGATGGCGTGCACACCGATCAGGACCAACTGCGCATCGAGTGGCCGGATGGCCATGTCTCTTCCTACTCAAACGACTTCCTGTCGCGCTACTCGTCTCCCTCTGAGCTTGCACAGTTTCATCGGGATGCGAAACGCGAAGCCTGGGACGTGTCTACCTTCGACGCGGCTCCGAACAAGATCGTGTCATGGAAGAAGATGCAGAACGAACGCGGCTTACTTGACGCCGTCGACCACCTCGAACGATACGGTCTTCTCATCGTAACCGATCTACCAAACGCGGACACGACCAACGAGGGCGCGGCCTCGAGGAAGCTGGCGGACACCTTCTCGCGGCTCAAGACGACTTTCTACGGCGAGACGTGGAACGTGAAGAACATCATCAACAGCCGTAACATCGCATACACAAACCTGTATCTGGGCTTCCATACAGATCTTCAGTGAGTGTTTTGTGCCTACTTCTCGCGTGTTCATCAACTTAATGCTCTGCAGATACTTTGAGGCACCTCCGCGCTTCCAGATTCTGCACTGCATACGCAATCGTGTCAAGGGCGGCACATCCCTCTTCACCGACGCACTAGCTGCGGCTGAGACGCTTCGACGCACGGACCCCGCCGCTTTCGCGCTCTTAGCGTCCGTACCCGTGCCCTTCCATTATGTCAACGACGGACATCATCTTCACCGCACACATACTACCATCGAGCTCGCCCGAGTTCCCGATGCGCGTACAGGCCGTTTTGAGATCGCGCATGTGAACTACTCTCCACCATTCCAGGCGCCGCTCCCGCCAGACACACCGCCAATGTTCTTCGACGCGCTCGGACGGTTCGCTGCTCTTCTCGAGCGTGATGATGCAGTGTACCGGTACACGCTGCGCGAGACGGATGCAGTCGTGTTTGACAACCGCCGTGTGCTTCATGCTCGCACTGCGTTCACGGACGCGGAGGACGTTGATGGGGGAGAGGGCGTAAATCGCTGGCTGCAGGGATGCTATTTCGATGCGGACTCTTTGATGGATCGTGGCAGAGTCTTGCGCGAGAAAGCTGCGAATGGAGATATATGAAAGCTCTGTATATGATTGTTCTGATGATCCACAACCTCTATACAACCGGCCGCAATGTACACACTCAAAAAGTCACATGCCATGATGAATTGATGTTCCACATGCAAAATATTCGCGTGAGTATGCCATCCGCTTAGAGACGAAAAATACCTTTGCTTTGCACTGTCGCCAGCTTCGGCAACGACTCCAGGGTAGCAAAAACAAGCGACGCCAGCAGGATTCGAACCTGCGCCTCCAAAGGAGAACAGATTTCTAATCTGTCGCCGTAACCACTTGGCTATAGCGCCTTGTTGAGATCTTTCTACACCGTGGGTATAGATCTGCATCTCTCCAGCTCTTAACTAGTATTTCTCCTGGCAAGTGTCCCACGATATATACTCAGTATATCTTCAGATTAGCAAGACAACGGCGGATGTCACCCGAGCAATGGGCTCATGCAGGGTATAAATAGAAGGCGAAGAGCGATAGAAACGTAACTCATTCGTCGACATCTGAGTCGTCGTCATCGGGACCATGACAGTGGCAAGGCCCGTGGACGTGCTCGTGCTCGTGATGGTGACTGTGTTCGACGCTCGCCCTAAGAGCCTATTGAATACTGGGTCAGCATGAGGTGCTCTACGACGCTGCGACACAAGTCACTAACCGCATCTGCCTCTGGATCCGGAGTTTCCCAGCATTCGCGTACCAACCACGACCCAAGCCGGGTCCCGGGCTCAACAGGCTCGCTAACTGGGATTGAGACATCCATCCCCTCCGGATTCCCGACGCAGAACACAACTCTGCCAGCTTCAAGGCGCCATGCGCTGGTGCGACTGGCACCTAATCGTCTGGCACCGATGATTCCCACCATGGCGGACCCGTCGTCTTTCTCGACGAACGCTACACGCGTGCCCGGAGGAGGATCGACATCTTCCCATACCTCCTCGTATGCTTCGACTTGGCCCGTGGCAGGGTTGAGCATCTCGCCGCGCTCCAGAGTGCGAGAGGGATCGGAAGGATCGGCCCAGAGAATGCCGGAGTCCTCAACAGGGCCGTCATGCAGCGAGTCAATCGTATGGTGCCATGTCGACGTCGTTTCGCCTTCAGTCGCTGTCGGTCATGGAGTAGAAAGCGATACAGACGTCGCGCGTACCAGGATGAGGGCCTGGCTTGCTGGTCTTGGTCCCCGCGAAGGCCCAGTCGAGTTTCCGATCGGATTTGCGCACGCGGACGTCGACGAAGTAAGAATTTCCGGTTAAGACGAGAGTATCGGTTGGCTCGTCAAGACGACCACCCTTCCAGGCGAAGCCCGCACGAGTAGATACAGACATCTCAATTGGCAAGCCGTGACGCCACAAAGATAGACGGCTTCGATAGGTGATGGCGGTTCGTGATCAAAGTGCCGTGTGGCGTGTGCTGATGGTTGTTGTGGCTCTTGTCCATGATCATCGCGGCCGTTCCTCTGCCCGTCCCGAACGAGCAGTAAGTAAGATCGTGGTTCTTGCACACACGACCATCGCATATGTCATCCTATACTTGACAACGGCCGCATACCTACCCGAGCATCCCAGCACAGACTGAACAGACTCTTATTCTAGTATATATGTACAGAGATGATATATAGTATATATACATCTTACAGTCCGAGAATATAAGATCCGTTGGGTGAAGATACAAGCCATGCTATAACGTGGACTCTGAGCCATCCAGTAGAGGAGGTGCAGACAAAGGAATAGAGGGTAAGCTACTATTTCGCCCCGGCGTCCTTGCTACACCCCATGCCAGGGAGGCGCGAGGGGGCCACCAGAAGCGGCCTAATGCTTTTCTTAGAAGTTGACGCGCAGTGAATAGGTGGGTATCGCGACACCGCGCGCTGCCCGCGGGACGCGAATAAGCCAGATCGACGTCACGCGCGGAGGCGCCGTCAGAGGGAGTGATCCAGAGGTCAGCCATCTGCTCGCGTTCCTTGTCGTCGGCTAGCCACCACTGATAGTACCACCAGCTATCACCGCATGCGCCGAATGAGGTACTCGACTGGGGAACACCGGATGCGGCAGGGTAATCATTGACGAGCACGCCGAAGAAGTGTTGTGGATAGAGAAAGATGAGGGCATTGATGAGGGTTTGGTCCTTCCCGATGAAACGACCAGCGTGCATCCAAGTGTCGTGATATGCGTAAAAGCTACGCTCGTAGTTCGCAATGGCTTGTGCGGCACCGCCGAAGAATGAGCCTTCGCTAAAGACCTCGGCCATCGTGGGTCCGTCGTCCTCGTTCCACATCCAGAGCGTATGGTCTGGTGGCCAGTTGAACGGTACGAAGATGATATTGTCTTTGGGAGTGCCGCTTTGCGCAGCCGCAGTACGGAAAAATCGCTCGGTCCGGTTGGGACCCGGCCAGTGAACGTATGTGTGCTCTGCGCGCATGCTCCCCGCATCATTCCAAAACGCATAGTCGTAGTAAGCGCTGTTGGACTCTTGTGCACGAGCGAGGCCCTCGTCGAGAAAGTATGGCTTGGCATTCCATACAGCATATAGCTCGGCGGAGTGGTAGGAGCGCTCGGGATCGAGTATGTCGTGCATGGACTGATATGTGTCTTCCAAGCCGCGCAATGGGGGGATGTCGAAGGGAGACTCGAACGTCGTGTTGAGCAAGATTGGGAGATCGCCGCGTAGTTTCCGGATGAGAGGTGCGATATCGGGCGGACAAAACATATACAAGTCGCTCGAGACTTGGGCCAGGAATCGAGACAGCCATCCTTCGTAGTCGGCGAGAGTGTGTTTTGATCTCTTCAGTGGGAAGAAAGCAGACACAAGCAGAATCCGAGGCAACCCGCTCACGTCGAATTCGACGCTCTTGTCCTCCACGCGCGACGGCGCCGCGTCTCGGTCCGGCGCAAACTCGACGCCCTGGTACAGCGGCCCGACATAAGTTCGTATGGTCTCGAGTTGGCTGAAGAGCAGGAGAAAGGTAAGGACGGCGGCTAAGACGAGGGCGTAAGTATGCCCGCGCGGGGAGAACATTGAGAGAGGAGACGAACGCCAATTCCGTGGACGTGCGCACTCATATCCCGAATTACGCGTTGATTGTTAGTCGGCGGCATGATCGGTTCGCGGCCAATGATGGCCTTTGAGCGGATGCATACCAATGGACGTTCCAGACGGGTTCGCTGTGGCGCACGTTTTGTCTGACTTTGCCGACGCGGATGCCGCCAAACCGCGCGATCACGTCTTGCCCATTGGTCGTCCGGGTACCCTCCGGAGTTCTACTCACGTGCAAGAGCTAGCAAGTCAGTGAAGACATCAATCTCCATGAGCACGCCCGGAACACAGGGTCGATTCACGCGTTAATCGCCGGGTCGAGCACCGCATCATCGGCAAAGCGTCGAACGCCAATCGGTATCTAGTTATCTGTGAGTAACTCTGAAGCTCTGAAGGATCATGACGACTTTGCTGACTCGCTCTTCGAGTCCGAAGCTGGCTCAAGGCTGACGACATGCTGCTCAACGTTCGATGGCACTCGATGCCATTGCGCGACTGCTAGTTCATAGCGACCACTGATAAGCGTGTAGTGGTCCTGCTCTGCACGACCTGTTAGCATCTCGAATCGGTTCTGCAGGAATGAACAGGGGAGCCTGTGCAACCAACATACTTACCGAGACCGCAGCCGACGTTTAAGCTCAATGCCACCCATTTCGCATGGTGACAGGATAGGCAGTAGGAACTTCCACATCTGGAGGCGCTTTCTCTCTTTGAAGCGCTTGGGAAACAAGCTCAGGCTGGAACCCGAGAATCATGCCGAGGGGTTGGTAGGGATGGGTGGCGGACGAGTGTGGTCGAGGGGCCAGGGCTAGTAGGTGAGGGGGGGAAGAAACCCGCATGAGTTCAATGTGTGGTCGTATTCCCTGTAGCCTGTTGCGATAGAGCAGATACCGGATGGGTAGCAATGTCACTATACTGCCAGTTGGCAGTCGTTGTGTCGCTTCGTGGGACCACGTTTGGTTCAAGGGGAGGACGTGTACAGGTTGCGCGGGAGATGACGTCGTGTTCTGAACCACCATCATCGTGATGCCCTGCCTGGCTCGCCCCAAGGCCTGGCGCTTCGCGCCATCGAGGGAAACACTCCTTGCCTCTTACCTTCTCCAGTCTAATCTCGTCTGGACTCAGCTATACCCCTACTCTAGACGTACTAAATGCTAATCAATGCCTTCCTTCGCGTGCTGAGCCGATCACACCCCGAGGCCGCGTTCACCTATACGACTAGACTGTGCTCGCATTCTCGGCCCCTAACGACTCGCGTGACGAGGTACCATGCAGTTCTTGGTTCGCGAGCATTTCATGCAAGCTCTTCCCGGAC